CATCTTATAATTTATTAGATGAAGATAATTAAAACATTAATCAGCAGATGGCACTTGACGATGTCCTTGTAATCTGGTTTCATAGTGCATTGTTGCCATCATACAGACTAGGAAATGGGAAGAGTCCTCTAAAACAGTGAACATTTCAGAGAGATTAAGTTGACTGTAATCATTTAATCAGAAAACATGGGAAGAGTGTATTGCCCAGTATTTTAATTAGAAATATCTTTTGCTTATGGAATGAGAGAGACTAAGAAAGAGAGTGAGCGTGAGAAAGAAGTGGAAGGTGAGGTGAAGAGAGAGAGATATTGAGAGAGAGCAGGTCAAGACTTTTTCCTTGAATTCTTGTTAGCTAATTAACCTGGTTTGCTTATATGGAAATCTCTAGAGATGTCTCAGCCTCCCAGACTCAGTAATAAAATGATAAAAGGGAACAAAAAAAATTAACCTTCGTTGAGGGCCTATGGTGTGCTAGGCATGTGCCAATAGCTCTATAGATAGGAACTGAGGTTTATAGAGTTAGGGACATATCAGGATGACACAGTAGTTAGTACTGGAACTGGCATACTTTCTCATAATTTCACCCTACCCCAAACTGTCCAGCAGTCAAAATGCAAGTTGCAAATTATTTTCTTTGTTTGTCTTAAGTATTTCCTTTTCACCTTTTGGTGAAGTACAACAGTAAGATTATAGACACATGGCAAAAAAGTAAATAGTACAAATAAGATATTTGGAATTACCATACCTGAAATGACTTTGTAAGGTTTATCCTCCCCTTTCATAATAACTTTTTATAAATGCTTTACATGGATATGGGAAGGAGGGGAAAAAATTAAATGAAAAGATGTCCACTTAAAATGATGAAGCTAAAATTCTCAATAAGAAGTAAACCAAAAAATTCTGTTTGGTTCAACTCAATTCAGTAATTATATATTGAAGATATACCAGCCTCTAAACTGGGACTGCAAAACCAAGATGGAAAGGAAAAAACATTCATGACATAAGGTTGAATCTAAGCATTTTAAAGTCACAATGGAGTTTTTAAGAGTCAGCACCAGAATTGAGAAAGAAAATAGAATAAATATGGGAGATGTTTATTAAAAACAATATGGGCCTGATTCTAATAGATTTCTATCATTATTTCAGGGGAGAAACATACTTTCATTATTAAATTTAAAAAAATTTGCATAAGCACTCAAAAGGAGATTTTCTTTTCCTCTACTATTAAAGCTTCTTTGAGATATACTCAGCCTTTCTGACATCTTTGAATTGAGGAAAAATAGACTTTTGGAATGAAATATTTTCCTAGCATGAGAAAATAGGGTTTCCACTTGATAAAACTGGGCTGAGCAGATCAGGCAGCTGGTGGAAGAGCAACGGGCAAGAGGTCAGCAGGCTGATCCCAAATCTTAGTCTCTTCCTGGTGCAGGCCTGTTTGCTATCATCGGTGTTGCAGGGAACCATATTATAGTCTTTACCCCCACGGTATAAAAGAAAGTGTGTCGTTAATGCTATACTGTTAATTTGCGTGTTTGAAGAAATCAAGGTAATTGGGACAAAAGAGAAAAACATCATGATTGATCTATCCTTTCTCTTCTTTATTTTTTCTTCGCTTTCTTCTTCCTAGTTACCTGTGCTCACTTAAATATCTTTGTAACATGATAAAGAAATTGCTATTTAAAAATCATAAAGTATAAATGTAAAATAAGTGTGAAATTTGTAATTTATAATATATTACATAGTGCATACGTGCCATATAAAGAAATAAATATATAAATATGAGTAAATAAATAAATACAAGAATTAAATGTAATTCTACTGTCAACCCGTGGCCAGTTATATGGGAAGGTCTGGAAGGAGGAGGAGAGTGGAGAGTGACAGTGTGCTTGTGCACGCACACACACACACACACACACACACATACACACACACTTCAGAGTGGGAAAGGAACATAGGAGATGCTCTTCTGGTCTCAGAATTCTCAGTCAATTTATTTAGTTTTATCTTGCCATTTCCTCTGTCTCTAGGATTAGCCTTTATTACTGTCTCTCAAATGTAAATTAGATTACCCTCTTATCACTGAGCTTCGTTTGCTCTCTGGCCTCCAATATTTAGTGGCTATGCTCTGCGTGGGGTTGACACAAGAACCCACTGGAGTGGAAAAGCCCTGTGAGCTTCAGCGGCAGGGACCAGGAAAGTCAATTTATATGCCAGCAGCCTAGCAGCATTCCATCCTGACAACTATTAGAACCACCTGGGAGCTTTGACATTTATCCACCCCAGGCCTCACCTTGACCAGCTAAATCAGTACCTTTGGGGGTAGGGCCTCTGTTACCACCCTTTACAAACTCACTCACTCTCAAGGAGGTTTCTGATAGGACACCAGAGTTCAGAAGCGCCGTTGGAGAAGATTCCTCACTCTTGCATGAGGGCCTTAGAATTCACCACAGAATATCTATTTAGAAAATTTGAAACAACATTTGTCCTTTGATTTACAGATGAGAGGATTTTTTTTCTTCTTAAAGAATGCATCAATTTCCCTTTAATTCATTTTTTTTGCCTTTTTGATACTTTAATTTGTTTCTCTATTTTTTTTTTCTACCTCAATTTGTCATAACTCCGTATTTCACATGTTCCTTCTTACGTGTTTCACAAATGTTCTGGAAAGTTTTTGTTTTGTACTTTGCTCTGTTCTTGGCTTAAAGTATGCATTGAACTGAGATTGTTGCTGCAATAGGAGGCACATTTATTCGTTCTCCAACGTGATTAGTTAATATGTTTCCTTTCTGGGAAACAGATGGTGAATTGAACATAGAGCTTTTCTTCTGAGTAGCTGCTTGAGTGGGGATTATATAAGAAATACTACAAAAGGACGACTCCATCGATAGATTTTACGTTAAGGGAAGCCAAAAAAAAAAAATCAAAGCCAGTGACGATGTTTTGCTACAGGATTTGGAGTCTCTCTGTGCCAGATTATTTAGTGACTGACTCAGAAACAGTTTTTACTTTATCTGAGGAAAAGCATCATAATTAAGTTGTCTATTCTGAAATTGGTATTTTATTTTTTTATGACAGTCAGTGCTTAAGATATATCCTTGAAAAGCCCAAGTTACTTATTAACAAACAGGTGTTTTAATAGTAAAAGTTACCATTTCTCATGAGGCTAAGAATAATTTTTTTCATCTCGCACGTAGTATTTTATATTTATATAAAAAATATATAAGTATTACATATTTATCATTTTATAAAAATCTTGAAGGTATAAGGATTTATTATAAATAAGATTTGCCTGTCTATTGACATACCTTTCTTCAGAAAGTTTTTTTCTCAGAAACCTTGGAGTTCTGACATGTTGCACATTTAAGGACTTTTCTCTGGGCTCCTTGCCTCCTTCCCCAGCTGTTACTCAACCCTGGTTCTCTAATTCACTTATTTTCATAAGTTACCTTGTGCTGGTATATTCAGCCTCTCTAACAGTTGTGATATTTTCTCTTCTTTTCCTCAATTCAGTTGTTAAGGGATTTTTCAAGTCTCTCTGTGGCCTCATGGCACCAACTCCCGTTCTGTGGTTTCCAAAGCTTTATATTCTATTTGGTTCCCAGAGATTTATTACAATGAATCCACTTTTAAGTTTAAATATCGATGTCTAGAATTTTCTGGAAATTTAGATAGACAAACATATGTATCTCTCCCCTTTAACTTGACTTTTATATAATATTTGAATAAAGCCAGATAGGCAGACAAATTTGCATTGAAGATGGGAAGTTACAGTTTAGAAGAGCTTACTTTTCAGTTTATCTTATGATGTAGTTCATCTTAGAATGAAGTCTGATGAACTTTCGTTCATTTTACAAATGATTTGGAACATTTTGAGGTGAAGTGGAAATTGCTGATGTGATTGATGCTGAAAGATGGGAGGTTACCACAAAGAAGAATATGCATTTCTGTCTTAGTCTACAGTTTACCTTGACTGTGTGTTTCTGATCTGCCTGTTTCCAGTGGACAGTCGGATGTCACCGTCATCGTCAAACCAGCTAGACAGGAAAGGTGGCATCGTCAGATGTAGAGGGAATTAAGGCCCCAGGCGTGTTCAGCTGTGCAGGAGACCTTTCTAACCTGCTTCGAGAGTGTCCTCTCTGTGTTTATCACATTCCTCTGCCCTTGTCTTGTCAGCTCCCTGTCTCTGTTTCCAACTCTTAGCTTTGCACTTGACTTGGATTTCTGTCTGTATCCTTTGCTTCTGTTCTAGCTGCTTGCTCTTCCCGCCTACGCCCTGAGGCCTGGCCTTGTGTTATGCCTGCCCTTTTGGTCTGAAAGCCTATTTCAGACATTCTGGAAGCCCTCTTACCCTATTACGGATTTGGGATGGTCCTTGACATCTTACTATGTTCCTGTTGAAAAGTTCATGGTCATGCTACACTTCTGGGCTACACAAAATGGCCTTTATTAAAAATGAGCTGTCAAACAGCCTTAGAGATGATGATGTATCCAAAATATGTTATTTGTCTTCAGTTATTTAATTTTAGGACACAATAAATTGATTTTGTGTGAGAGTTTTTCTTCATGACTTATTGCTATTCTCCACTAATTATACTTATACACTTTTCTTGAGAACAATGAAATGAAACACCTTCTTTGGGTTTTACAATATTGAATTTACAGTAACAAAGTATTGTTTTATTTCTTCATTCATCTTGTTACACTTCAAGGTTTACAAATATATAAAATTCAAAAGTCACTAAAAAACTTTGGGCCAATTTATTAATGTGAGTATCTGTCTTCCTCTAGTTTTGAGTGTATATTGGGGTATGATGGTGAATTAATGGAGAAAGTGGGGAGAATTTTTTTTTTTACCTTGTATTAATTTTTTCTTAACTCTTTCTTTGTAAAACCTGGAAGAAACTCTTTAAATGCTGATATGCCACTTGGCTATACAGAATGTACAATCAGATATCCAAACTAATACTGTTTTTTGTTGTTGTTGTTGTTGTTTTTCAATCACAGAATTGACTCCCGAGGAGAGAGCCCAAAAGATTGCCAAAGCCATGCGCAAACAGTCTTCTGAAGTCAAAGAGAAGTGGGAAAGTCTAAATGCTGTTACGAGCAATTGGCAAAAGCAAGTGGACAAGGCGTTGGAGAAACTCAGAGACCTGCAGGGAGCTATGGACGAGCTAGACGCTGACATGAAGGAGGCAGAGTCTGTGCGGAGTGCCTGGAAGCCAGTGGGAGACTTACTCATCGACTCGCTGCAGGAGCACATAGAAAAAACCATGGTCAGCATTGCTGCCTTTACCAAAGAATTTTTAAGAAATGTTTTCTTAAAAGAGATCCCCATATATGAATTGTTATAAGGGATTGTTATAAAGCCAACACTGCTGCAGCCTTTACCCAAGTCAGGAGTCAAACAGGTGCTTTCCATATGTCCCTCACCATCAGAACCCCCTCTCCCCAAATGACCACTTATATGACTTTTATGATAGTTTACTTTTATTTTTCTTTGTATTTGTTTCATCCAACCATGCATCCCTAAGCAATATAGATTGTTTGCCTGTTTTTTTTTTTTAAAAAGACTTTAAAAGTCCCTTTGAACCTCTAGATTTACCCTCTATTTCTTTTTTCTTTTCCTTGCAATTTATTTGTTGAAGAAGTTGAATTGTTTTGTAGTGATTCCCATAGTGTGGATTTCACAGAAATGTATCCACATGGTATATAGTATACAGGTTCCCCTCTACTCTGTATTTCTTGTAAATTGGTAGTAGGATTTATAGGTTTAATCAAAAGCATACTGTTTTACTGGTACTTCTGATCTATAAATTTTATCTCATTGTCTGAATGTATTAATGGATAAAGGGTTTAGATATAAATTCTCTTTGTTGTCAGGAATTGCCCAAAGTTAAGGATGTAGACCTATGGTTAGACTGCTTTTGGTTCCCATATTCTAGAGCATCTCTACAAAATAAAGTTAATGACATTTAGGCAATAAGATACACAAATATAACAGATTTAGAGTCTAGTAGGGTTTGTAGTAGCATAGTAAACTATATACTAGGTAGTCATGAATCAAACCAATGGATAATCTAATGAAAAATTAGAAGTTATTAGACTGACTATATCTATCATAAGTGTAATTTTTATTTCAAAAGATACACATCTTTTGTGCCCATACATTGGATAGCATTCTCCCTTTGTGTGGATGTAGCTGAATAGGAAAGAGAACTAAGATCTAGGAAATTAAGTGAATACTTAGGTAAATCATGTAAGTCAATATATGTATGCGTAGACATGGGAATAATAATATTAGGTAGTGTTTATTGAGACTTACTATGTGCCAAGAACTGTTCTTAGCCAGTTTGCATGGATATGTCTTTTAATCCTCACATCCATCCCAAAAGATAGGTATTATTATTATTATTATGCCCATTTTATAAATAATAAAAATGAAAGTAATTGCTCAAGCCCACATAGCTAATAAGTGATAGAGTTTCCATCGTTTATTTTTCTTGATTTTCTCTTTCATTGCAAAGACCTTTTCATACATCTTTGATCAACTATTTGAATTTAAAGCTTTAAAAGTTAAATATTACATTTTCAACTTAAAAATTTATTATTAATAGGGTACTGGCATATGTAAATATACATGTTTCTAGCTACCCTATGAATAAAATAGGCTTCTTCCTACAACTCTAGTATCCTAAAAAACATTTCCATGATCTGGGTTTAAAACAACCCACTGAAAACAAAGCCTTTAGCATAGTTTCCTTGGAAGTTACACACTTCTTTTGTTTTAATGGATGATTTTAAACCCTTAAAATCTTTAAGTCACTGGTTTACAAAAAGTATGGCCTATTGGACTGCAAAAATGCCTCTTGATTAAAGCAGGAATTTACCCATTTGAATTTGAAAGTATCAATTTATAATGCAGAATGATTAGTGTTGGAGGAAGCATAAAGAATTGTATCTAGGGTTATTAAATGCCCCAAAATTTGGGAGTTGTTAATCCCATTTGATTAAAAGACTTATCTACCTCTACATCCAAATACTTTTGTTCAAATCTCTGCTTAAGTGGAAAGCTAGGAAAAATACAATTAATATTTTAATAGAAAGGACTAAACTGTGGATTAAAATATTTTAACATCTTTTTAGGAAAAAAAACAAAAAGCCCAATAAACCAAAAAAAAAAAAACCAAAAGCCGCCAAGGTTTAAAAGGGGTTTAAAAGACAACCCAAAACCCAATGAAAACGGAAGCAAAAAAAAAAAAAGGGGGTTTTTCGGTCCGTTGGTTTGAAAAAAAAGCCTAAAACGGTAACCGGGCCAAAAAGCAAGGAAAACAACAAAAGGCAACGCAAACCCAAAACCCCGGGCCTAAAGGAACCTCCCGCCCCAACCCCCCCAAGAACCAAAAAAAAAAGCAACGACAACCCCGGCCAAATTTTTCCAATTTTTAGTAGAAACAGGGTCTAGCTCTTGCTCAGGCTGGTCTCCAACTCCTGATCTCATGCTATCTATCTGCCTCAGCCTGCCAGAGTGCTAGAACTGCAGGCATGAGCTACCTC